TTATCTTAAAACATAGAACAGTAAATAAAGAAGTAAAGCAAACAGTTATCTCTTCTAGTTGTGACCTTTGTATTCATTTGCTGCTTGTCATAGGTTGCTAAGCCTTATGAACATTCCCACGTGGAGGATGTGAAAAGAAAAATTTTTTATGCTTTATATATACATCTTAAATAACCAAAAAAATCATAAATTACTATATCGATACCATAGAGTTCCACTATAATTTATCAAACTTAGAAAATAAGCTGTATTTCGGTTTAGAAATATATGAAATTTCAAGGTCACTAAAGACTTACCTTATAATTTGAAAATTTGGGGGGGAAAAAATGAGATTAACACAATAACACATCAAATTGGCTGAGAAAATCACTAGAGGGGTCATTCTGAGCTTTTGATTCGCTATTCATGTCAAAAGTAAGTGTATATAAGGGAGCATTTCCAAAAATGGAGAGAGGTGGGCAGGGGCCACTGTGTTTGATTCAGTACATGAGCGATATTTTAGCAAATACAAAAGATAAGAGGATCGTATTTTATATTCTAGTGTGTCAATATCAGTAGTTTGAGTTCCTAATTGATACAAAACTATAGACTTTGTGTTTTGACATTATAAACATCTAATTTGAAATAATGATGCATTCACACACAAAAGTCTATGTTTCACTGTGTTTTTTAATATTTACGTTTAGGTTAAGAAATTAACTAACATATAATAGTAAAATTTGAATTATAATCTACAATATGATACCAAAGTTATTGACATAGATTCATAAAATAGTAATTCAATAAAAGTTTGAATGCAAGTCTTTGACATGTGACCTCTCTTGATAGCGTTAATGCAGTGAATATGGTACACAATGGCTCAATGTCATTATCATCATGTGAAAACTGGCTTTGACTGTAATCGACTTTAGATTTTTTATTTGCAAAGTATTTCACACAAACAACACTTAACCTGCATTATAATTTCTTTAAAAGAAAATTAACATCACACGTAATACAATTTTTATGGGTTTTCTCGATTTATATAGGTCAAAAATACACATTCGCAATTCTTTCAAAACCATAAGCTTATCACTTTGTAAACACTCATTCAGACATTTTCTGCATATTCAGCTAAGTTAGCCTTCATAACAACTTTACATTTACTTTACTTTGCAATAACTTCATAGGCTACTATAAAACCTTTTAGGTACTTTTTCTTTACCACGGGTTTTATTCTTCTTTTTTTTTCTGTGTTCCAACTCGTAAGACCGTGTCACACACTGCACGCTCATAATTGTTTCACACTCTGTACACTATTATAAGTAGTATTACTTTACTTGCCCCCCAGTGGCACAGAGGTATGTCTGCGGACTTACAATGCTAGAATCCGGGTTTCGATACCCGTGGTGGGCAGAGCACAGATAGCCCTTTGTGTAGCTTTGTGCTTAATTACAAATAATAATAATAATAATTACTTTACTTTATTGTTTACTTTTATTAGAGTTACATCTATGTGAGCTTATTTGTCTCACCTTGTAAATTTTTTCAAATAGATCATGATTTATCAATCTAACACACAATGCCTGCAAGAAAGCTTAGCTTAAGTGGCATGCATGAAAATAATAGAATAAGGAAAATACAAGTGAAAGGCATGAAAACTACAGCAAATGTTTTGCAAGTTGCAGCTAGTATATATCTAAATTAGAGCTGTCTTTTTAGTCTGGATGCAAGAAGTTCGATCAGTTTTGATGAAGTATGGTAGATGAAAATAGGTACCCCAACTACATGTACACACACAAAGCAGTGTAATATAAGCTTAAAAATATAGGTTACCCTTTGGAAAGTTATTATTTGTTTCTTTTAGAAGTATTTAAAATAAATATTATTGCAGGCTTTATTATTTTATTAAAGTATTTCTTAAGTTTGTTAACTACAATTTTAGTGATGAGAATGTTATTAAGAATTTGTCAGGAATTGTTCATGTGCTTATTTTCTGTAAATTAGGTTACTCAAAATATTGGTGAGATAGTGCAGGAAAAGTTTCCAGAAGTCACTGAGATTTTTCTGAAGGCTGCAAAAAACAAGAAATTTCCTGTTTATCTTCAAACTTGGGTCATTCAGGTAGAAGAGTTTCTCATTTTTTCAGAAAATGTTATTAAATTGATGTTCTCTAGTGGGTGAGCTATAAACTTATAAACTTGTGATATTAAAATACATGGTTTGATTTCCTGCAGTGGACAGAGTGTGTAGATAGTTTATTGTGTAACTTTGCAGTAAAAAATAAAACAAACAAGTGAAATTAAACCGATGAAATTTTGTGGACTTTTAATTTAAAATCTCTGGAATAACTTATAGTTTATAAAACTTTGTATAATTAATCTTAAAATGTATTGGGAATTGAAACAAGTATTACTTTTAAATTACAATTGAATTGAAATTAATTTTACACCACATGCCACTTTTTTCTAGTAGTTATATGTTTTATAGTACTTGCAAGCCTTGAAATGGATTAGTTTTTATGTGAAAGCTTTAACTCTGGTTTTGTTCAGTTTTTTCTTTTGTAACTAATAACTAGTTAACTTTTGGTTTCTATTAAGTTAGTCTAAGTACATATAACTTTATTGGGATTTACTTTCTATTGGTTCCAAGCCTGTTAAAAAGTACCTTTTAATTTTCTTCATTTTCTCACATTCATAATGTTTAGTTGATTACTCTTGCTTTTTTGTTCATTCTCCTTTTCTCGTTTGTTTCACAATAAATCAGATAATAAAACTATCATTTCTATATCTCTTGACTTTCTTTATGAAGATCTAGTAGTAAAATATATAATGGAATTTTCTTTATTTCTTAAATATTCATCCTTGGTTTTTAATCTGTCTTTTAAAAATAATTTTCCGGTACTGAGAAGTGATATATGTTAAAGCCCACTGATCAGAAAAAGCATAAAAGCAGAGTAAAATAAATAAGCAAACAAGTAGCCTAAAATTGTTTTAAATATTTATGGGGATACTTCTTAAATTGTAGACACTTGTAACCCACAATTGATAGAACTGACTACCTCTTAACTAGAAATGTTCTAGAGTTTACCTTGTTAGTGTTTTTCACTGGCATATACTTGTAAGTTATTTTGCTTTTTATGCATTATTGAGTATAATGTACAGAGATATTTAAGACTTGTGATGAAGCTTCATAACAATGATAACATTGCATTTGATGAATAAAACCTGCAAACCTTTTTATAGAATTCATGGTAGAGCTATCATCTTATGTTAATCAGTTTTTGTAAATCAACATCCTAAGATCATTCATGTTTGACTGTCCTAAAATGCTGATTGAAAGAATACTTTTCAAACTTTCACATTTTACATTCTGTATAAATTTACAAAAAACTGACAAAAATTGTTTTCATGTAATAATGAGATAAGGAATTATGAGTGAAGTAATGAATTGAAATTGTTGATTTTGACTAGCCTCTGTTGTACACTTTAAGTGTATTTTTGTGGTTAGATTTTGGTTATTAAATTGCTTTTGAAATAACATAATCAACTTGTATTTGTTTATGAAAAGATATATAATTCATCGATACACAGTATATACTTGCAACTTTTGCATAATAGTTAAAGCAATAAAGCCTCTTGATAATGATGATGAATATAATGTAGATAATTAACCTTAAAACTATGTTTATAGTTGACTGAAATATTCAGTCTATCATCAGTTGAATCCATTATAATGAAAATATATTAGAAACTTTTGGGGTAAGAAACACTAAAGGTGGGGAATTTGAACATGGCTGATAAAATCAATTTTAAGTGTAGCTCCGTAGATTGTGCGAGTGTAAAAAAAAAAAAAGCATTTTAGTGACTGTCTTGAAAAAATGGCAAGTAAATGCAAATTTTTCTCAATCAAATGTACACATTTTTTGAAGTTTTTAATGTTCAGATTCTTTTAGGACATTTGTGGATTTATTGGCATTATTTATTGACTTTTATACTCATCTGTTATTTAATAGGCTCTTGAAAGGATGAACACTGATAAAATATACCAAGAATTGTGTGATATTCTAAAAGATGCTGGAGAAGCTCTGGAACTACGCATTTCCATTTATAAACTTTTATTTAAACAAAAAGTAGAGAGTGATTTATTTTTTGAAGACTTGAAGGATGTCATAGAAAATGAAGATAAGGGAGAATTTAAGTCTTACATTGCATGGGATATCATTTGTCGAATAGATGAACTACAAGATTATTTAGCTGATCATTTTGTCTTGGAGCATGGAGCTACATTTCAGTAAGTTAAATAGAAGTTAGTTGTATTATCAAATTTTACAGTAATGAAAACAAAACGGAATGGATGTGATAAACAACAATAGCTCTTTCAGCACAGGCTCGGTCCCAAGAACTGACCTTGTAACCATTTTGTGCTTATAGTTTTCATTCTGTAATTTTTAAATTAGTAAGATATCTTCACAAAATTTTGCTGATTATCAGTAAACATTACAAGGCTTTTGTTTGCAAAATATCATATTTTGTTTTATTAAGTTTAAGATTTCTTAAGTAATGTTTTTCTTGTGTATTTTTTCTTTTTGAATGTTGACTAACCAACATGCAAAGTAATTTTGATCTTAATGTTGAAAATACCTTTATGCATAAACAAATTTTCAAATTTCACATGCAAAATCTTTATAACCTCCAAATAATTATCAGACATTTTAAAGAAAAACTTTATATTTTACATGTTATTTTCATTATCAAATCTCTGTACGTCTAAATAGATTAAATCTCATAACATAATGCATTTATATACATTTATTATTTTTATTATATTGACCTTTCAGCCATGCTTGGCTAATGCTGCAGAAGTTGCAAAGATGTGGCACACGTGCACTTATGTTACTGTATCAAAGAATATAAAACTGGTCTTTACAAAGTGACATGTCTTGGCAGTATTTTAGTGGACTAGTATTTGTAAAATAAGGTCACATTTCTGTTATAATATATTATATATGTACATACGTTATGACTATTTACTAAAAAGTTATTAAACTTATTTTTCTTAAGACATCGAACAGTAAATAAAGAAGTATAGCAAGCAATTATCCCTTCTAGTTACGAACTTTGTACTCGTTTGTTGCTTGCCATAGGTTGCTAAGCCTTATCAAATTTCACGTGTGGAGGATGTGAAACAAAATCTTTTTTTTTGAAATAACCAAAAATTATAAATTACTGCTTGGAATATAGCATGAAAAGAATTAGTTTGCTGCCTGAATACTTCAAAGAGAAAGCCACTAGGTAACTAGGGGAACATTCCGAGATTTCGATTGATTATTCACATATTGTAGACAGAATTGTACGTTAGCAAGTGTTTCCAGAAATCAGCAGGGCCACTGTGTTTTATTCGGCAAAATGTAGTGATATCTCGGCAAATAGAAAAGATAGGAGTTTCTTATTTTATATTCTAGCTTGTGACTATTGGTAACTTGAGTTCCTAATTTTTAAGAAACTATAGACTTTGTATTAATAGTTTAATAAAATTTTCAATGCGAGTCAACAAACGTGATGACATGGCCTTTGACCCATGACCCGTATCGATAGGGATAACAGGCTAACTCTAGCATAAAACTAATTATTGGATCAAATATGCACTACTGTTAAAGTTAAAGAGCTTTGAATATTGTTCCTGGTTATAATACAGCTTTGCATATGCCACTTCACCTCCAGTATTATAATAAAAAAACATAGCACTGTCAGTACTGTTGGCAGAATGTAAAATCAAACAACTGAGTTTTTTTTGCCATCAATATGAATAAGCCAACAGCTTACTCATAAAAGTGACAGATGACAAAATGTGAGAGTAAGAGTGATTAAACTGTTGGAATGCTTAGGGAATTTTTTTTAATGATTTTTAGAATATTTTATATTTATGCACTATTGTGAATACGTGTTTTGATCATTTGGTGTTTTTAAAGATGCTGCATTTGTGGAAAGCATATGTGTAAAATATATGAACTTTTACAGTTCCAGTAAGAGTGTGCTCTTAGAGAGGCTGAAGATGCTTTTAGATACCACATCATTGACAGTTGAAAATAAAACTGATCTTGATCTTGAAGGAAAACTAGCATTTGTTCACGGTAATCTACATCTTAGTGATATGCTTGGTGTACACTGGGACTCTGTGAAGATTACCAACGATTTCTCATATTTTGCTGTCTTTAATGTTACCATAAAATTATTTGAACATATGGTTCATTTGTTTGAGACTGGTACTTTTGGAAATGGTAAGTACAATTAGGATAATCTGTTCTCCCATTCATTGTAAATGAATTCTTCGTCTTTCTTGCAAACATAGTTACAGTGTACTCTTTAAACATATTAGACATGCATGTGTGACAGCTGTTTAGCTTTATCCTTTCTTTACCTGTTAGTAGTGGGTGGACAGGTGCAATATTTCATTATATGGTGAAGTCTTTGAATAGGTATGTTAAAAAACATTAGACCAGAAGTTAAGAATGCTTTTTTTTTGCAATCTACATAACATTTAACCCAATAGATCCTAACAGCAAATTTAAAAAATTCATGACTGGAAATTTGGCACTTTTGTTCAATTTCTCACTTTATGACTATAATAATAAATTATAGATAAATATAAATTCTGTTTGCTTCTCATGAGTAGTCAAGGTGTTTGTGCAACTTTAAACAGAGTGATACTTTTTCTCCTATTTGTGGGCTTTTAATAAGTTGTAACATTTCTACAGTTATACAATTAACTACCAGGATATCACCCTAAAAAAAAAAAATCTAGGAATTTACAGATTTGATGCTGTTTTCTAGTTTTTATGTACAATGTATACTAAGTTTTTAATTATTTTCACAGTTAATCATAGCTGTGTAAAGGCCTTGAAAAGAAATTAATCTTGTAGATCAACTGAGAATAGCCAGCTTTTATGAGACTTGTCCAGCTGGTTGAACTTAAAGGGAAATTGATCTCAAGTTTTGTATTTTTATTCATGAGATATGGTATTGGCCAGGTATTTGTACTTTAAAGCTCAAAATGAAAAAAACTGAACATAAATTTGTCTTTTTGGTTATAGACAGCTGGTTTGTTTCATTAGTGGCATCTAAACATTACTTGTTTCAGGGGACAAAATATCCAGGTTTGAATCCTAATTTGCGAATTAAAACAACCCCAGTTGCAAATCATTTTCCATTGTGAGTTATTCCTTTCTCTTGTAGGTTGTCTTAGACACTTTTAACAACACAGTGAAAGTGTTTCAGTTTGATATACCAAAGCCAAAGCTGATGTTCGTTTCACAGAAATTTACACCAAATGGTACATACAGTATTTTCACACACTGCCATGTGCAAATCACGTACACTTTATAGTAGTCTGTTCATGATGTTTGGAATGCGGCCATTTGGAGCCCGCAGCCTAGCCAACTAGACTAGAAAAGTATATACACTGAACATATACACTAAACATTTAGCACTGAGCCAGTTACAAACTTTCTCAATACAAGTCCAGGGACTGACAACATGACCATTTTTAGTTGTATTTAGTTTTAATACTACAACTTTTAATACAGTTTGTGTATATTCACAAAATTTGGCAGATTTTTGGTAAACATTACAAGTCATTTGTACCCAAAAAATCAGTTTTTTAATGAAGTATCATTACTAACGATTTATCCATGAATATATTAAGCCTTTTTTGTGACCACTCCAAGTGCAAAATGATTTTTCATGTTAAGATTAAAAATTCTGTTCTTCATCTCATGTTCTTCATCTCAAAAATCTCTAAAACCTTCTAAATAAATTTTATTTTATTTTCTCTATGTTAACTCTATACAAGGTTGGCCAATTTGTATGACCTCATAACCACAAAAAGAAAAAGTCTAAATAAATCTAAATTTTCCTTTTTTTTTCATTCTAGAATGACTTCAAATTGTAACATGAAATTACATTTGTTTATCATAAGTAGCTCTAAACTCGTACAGTATACATCTATTTATACTTAAATTTTATTGTTTTATTGCCCTTTGAACCACATCTAACCACTAGTACTATTAATTCCATTATAATACAAGTTCTAAATCATTTGGGGAATGTGTCTTTCAGTACAAGCTTTGTTTCCACAGGAAACACATCGACTAGCTTGAATGAATTTGTAACTTCTCTTGTTGCATAGTTAGAAAGTGAGAAAAATTGTGATAGTTATGGGACATTGTCTGCTTTTCTATTATTCTGTTATTATTCTATGTTCTTTGGTGCATTATTTAATTAAATAAAAATTATTTAGTGCACCACAACCATTATATAAAAAGTAGGGTTAAGTGTCATCAATAGATGACAGCAAAAAACACACAAAAAAACAGGTTATTACTTTATTTCTTGTTTTTCAAGTTTATTCTTTATTTTTATTATAAAAGTAAGTAAAATTTAAAAATAGGAAACTCTTTAGGTTAGTTAAAGTTAGAATAGGTAAAATGAATAATAATATAATAAAAAATGTTGATGAGGAATGCATGCGAGCAGCTTGGAGTAGCTCGTGAGTAATGTAATTCAATAGGGTAATATGAGCCGGAAATTAATATTTTTCTTTACAGAAAACAATGTAATATAATATTCCAGTTGATAGATAAAAACCTTGGCTTTCCCTTACGAAAATGTCCTATAGAAGTCCTATAAAAAAATCCTTTAAGTAGTCCTATAGGTGTAATGTAATAAATTGAAACATGACAGTCCTATAGGACCCTATGTTTATAGGATTATTTATAGGAGATTCTATAATGTTTTTAAGACAGTACTGTAAGATTTGCTTATAGGACATATTATAGGATTGTTTATACAGTGCACTATAGGATTTGCTTATAGGACATATTATAGGATTGTTTATACAGTGCACTATAGGATTTGCTTATAGGACATAGTATAGGATTGTTTATACAGTACACTATAGAATTTCTTATAGGATTGTTTTTAGGACATAAAATAGAATTTACATAACACATCCTGTAGTTAGACCTGCAGAATTGTACCATCAAAATTTTATAAGTAGGTGTGTAGACATCTTAAATGCACACAATGGGTTTATGTGCCTACTTATAGTATTTATCAAAATCAAGATTTATACTTGTCTTAATATCATAAGTTCAAATTATAAAGTTTTAAAAGAGTGCTTGTAGGAAATGTTATTATATGTATTCTCAGTTTCTTATACTTATCCTAGTTCATTTCGTTCATGATAGTCTTTATAAAAAAATCAGTAATTTATGTAAACAAATTAAATAATAAGAGAATTAAAAAGAACTGAAAATAGCCAAAATTGAAGATTAAAACAAAAAATATTTTAGACTGTGCATATTGAAGGTTAAAGATTGATTGAAATTATCTCTCATATTTCCATAATATGCATATTATTGATACTCGTAACTTTACAGAGTTTAAATGTTTTGTTTAAATTAACCCTACCAGTACCAAAGCAACTTTGTCTTGCCCTTGAGCAATATCACAGGATTTAATTTAAAAAGTATAGTAAATGTACATTAGCTCATATTCCAGATTTTTTATAAACATATTGTTTCTTTTAAATCATTTCATTTAATGAAATTTAACGGAAAAAAAAGTTAAAATAATCATTTTGTCTTCAAATAAGTGCCCTCTTTAGTAACAATGTAGTCTTTAAAAATAGCCTACTTAAAGTGTAAGTAGGTTACATAACTTGTTAAATTTCGTTAAAACCAGTACATGAAATACTTTGGAAGTTGGCATGTACTTTCCAAAAACTTGTTTCAGGAAAATAAAATATTCAATTTTTTGTTTTTATGTGTTGTGAATTTCGAAATAACCCTTCTACTTGTACATAAGACATTGATGACTTTACAAAGTTGAAATTTGTTGTGTGTGTGTATATTAATACAAAAATAATAACAGGTAGTTATTTATCACAGGTTATTATTATTATGCTTTAAGTTTGTTTCATAACATTTTAACGTGTCAGCTTATGAAAAACCATGTGAGAAATTAGGAACATACCAAATGAAAACAATACTTACTTATAATACTATCAATGATGTCTTCATCATGTGGTTCTTTCACTTCTTTTCCTTTTTGTGCATTTGACTGAATTCCTGTCAGTGATGTTTTTTGATAACTCTTCTGGCCTGTTAAAAATTCTTAGCATGTCTTACACTAAATTTGTTATGTCACAATGATTGCATAACTAACTTCTTCTTTACTATTTTAATTTTGCTACTGAGGTCAACCATTTCCTGTAAAAATTATATATGAACTAGAATTACAAACATGTTTTAAAAGTGCCAGTAGTTATATGTATTATCAGTTTCTTATATTTATCTTAGGTCATTCCAATTCTGATAGAATGTATAACAGATTACAATAAATTTGCTAACAAACAGAACAGTTAATGAAATATTGGTAATGGTTAGTTTATGATGTTCAACACAACTATGGGAGAATGATAAACTAGTGAAATTATATCAATTTTGAAATTAAAACTGTGCGATAGTAGCATTTTTATCATTATTATCAATGTTATGATAAAAATGCTACTATCGCACAGTTTTAATTAAGATACGAATAAAAATATGTAATTATTATATTATATTATTTATATAATTATTATATTATATTATTTA